AAGTGTAAAACCACTTTTTAAGAGCCCACCACAAACCCACCCGGTGGACGCTGTAGTAGCTCGTTAGCATAAACGGAAAAGCCGTTAAGCCTCCACCTAGAGCTTCGTTTTGGACCGTTAATAAACATTAACTTTCCTCTGAATGAGCGGCCACCAGAGGCGATCCCATTCTGGCCCTCGTCTTCTTACCATCTAAAAGATGCGACGCTCCGGGGGGTCAGAAAAACTAATTCTCAGTCCTAAATCTCCTCGTCTTCACTTCATTCTTTGACATTTGTTAGCTTAACTTTGTTAGTTCCGGGCTTTGGCCCTCTAATCCAGTGTTTTTCAAGGTGTTCCGTAGAAAATCATCCTATTTCACCTAATTGGTCTAAAAAGATTTTTTGATAAGGAATTAATTATCTGCAAATAATATGCCATTTTTGAGTGTCTGTGCTGTAGTAGTGACTGGTGGCGTAATCATGTAATAATTCCTTATGACTAGATTTTGTATATAATTTTGTATATTGAAGTGGACATGTTAAGAGCAATTTGAAAGAAAAAATATAAAATATGATACAAATACATTTTTGTGTTTATTTGATTCCTATTCAAGACACTTAAGATAAGACTTAGACTTAGACTTAGACTTCCTTTATTGTCATTTTACAAAAAACACAATGTGAATCTTGACAACGAAATGTCGATTACTTGATAAGATAAGAATAACTACAGTACAGTGTTACTATAGGCGGCTACAGATTTGTTTGACATTTTTGGTTGTTGGTGTGCCTCGTGATTATTTCAATGAAAAAATGTACCTTGGGTCAAAAAAGGTTGAAAAACACTGCTCTAATCAGCCTCGACATTACGAACGCTAACAGGCAGAAGGGCCCGTGGCGTTCCCCTGACCTCTGACCCCGGAGATACAAGTCTAAAGGGGTCTGATAGCATCCATGGGAATCGAACCCAAAACCCTGCCCAAAGCCCACAGGGCCCGAAGGACCATCTGCTGGCACCAGGACACCCACGGATGTTTTCTTTTTTTTTTTTCTTTTTTGGTTCCTGCTGTCTCTCTGGAGAAAGCAGGAACCTTCTTTGCTCAGGATGCTCAGAAAGAGCCAATAGGAAGATCCTTGCTTTATTGCAATATAGACATTTATTTAAAAATAGTTAAATTCATCTTGCAAACACTGAATTAAACTCTATACATAATATTATGTTAAAATAGTGGATGTTAAATAGGTTTGTACAATAAATCCAAACAAGTTTAACCAAAAAATATTTATTTCTCACAATTATGAAGAGTGGAGGGTCAGGGTTAGGATTAGGTTTAGGTTTAGGGTTAGGGTCAGAGTTACGGTTGGGGTCAGGGTTAGGGTTAGGATTAGGGTGGAGGTTTAGGGTTAGGGTTATGTTTAGGGTTACTGTCAGGTTTAGGACATCGTTTATCTTCCGATTTCGTATAGACAGTAAAGTTTTGTTTGCACCTCAGAAAGCTGCTAGTCACATGACCTAATCAAAATGGCCGACTTGGACGTGGGAGGAGTTGGATATCCAACCGAGGCTCCTACAGGGTTAGGGTTAGGGTTAGAGGCTGCTCGCTCGGTTCGCGTCCCTCCAGGAAAGTCCGCACCATCCCGTTTGGTCTCTGTGATGAAGGTTTTTCTGTAGATATTTGTAGTTATTATTCATTTTCTCGCACGTTTCGGCTCGGTTTCAGCTCCTCTGCTGGGAGTCGTGCTCCACTAATGAGGTTCCCTGGCTCTGAGCGGGGGGGATCAG